CCTGCAACTAATGTTGAGGGGTCGGCAGGGCTGATTACGGATCAAAACTAACATAACTCTAACACTGAAATGATCCCGAAACTAACGCTCATTCATTGCACTTTGAGTCATAAAGTAGTTTTATTTATTTTCCTACTAATCTATCTACACACTTAGTTTTTTCTACCGAGCTCGGCTGTGCGGGTCTCGGCGGGGAGGGTTTCTCTGAGATCTCGGCGGGAGTGACATTTGATTGCTGAGTCTCGGATAATGCCTTTTCTAATAATCTGCCTACGTTTCTTTTCTTTGTTATCTACTTTATCCCCTTTTTATTTTTCTGCTCTTCTTTCCTCTTCTCTTCTTTTGTTTTGTTTGTTTACATATAACTAATACTAATACCTCCTTGTTTTCTCTCTAATTTGTCTACTATGTACCACCATCACGATGAGAGATGAGCTACCGTACATGGTACACGCTTATATACACTCCCAAAATAGTATGCCGCAAGTAAGTATATCACAGAGGCAACTAAAGATCCAGAAACGAAAACCGATAACGCTGAAGATAATGAGCTGTGGTGATTTATATGACTAAATAGTATTATTTATTTATGCTAACCTAAACACAACGTGGGGTGACCCAAATCCAAACGATCACTAACCAAAATAATAGACTTATCTTTTTTCAACAGGTGTAATTTCGTTTAGTTCTGTTTCTCTCTTTTCAGCAAAACAACTACAAAAAAAACCTCTATAACTCTTCTCCATTCTTTTAATCTCCTACTATCCCCTATAAATGTATCGGAAACTAGTGGGACTGTCTGTGCAAACAGAAACAGACCTGCTAGTGGAAGAAGGTCGTTATAACTCGCTTAACTCGTTTTCGGATTTGAGAGATCGTCGGTTACAGTGGCTTGCTTACTGAGCAGGAAAACGCGGTCCCAGGTCCTTACATATCAAAGAGATTTATGGTAAAATCGCTTGTGTATCGTGTATTTTGCGAAACTCGTTGTTGTCGTTAGTTCCGGGTTTGAATGGATACAAAAATTTGAGCAACGGTATTATGTGATATGAGGGGCTCGGTGGCCTTAGAGCAACCGTTTTTGCTTACTGAGCAGAACATCATGAGTCTAATCTCAGGCCCATCCACATTCAAGATTCGTCAATCCTTTTATTTGTTAATATGACTACATGGTAATAACAGCAACTCGGTGATTAAAAAGGTGCTCGTCTACCTAGTGGCAAACGTTTTTGCTTACTGAGCAGAAGACCGTGGGTTTAGTCCCAAGCTCCTTCGCGTTATATGATCGTTAGGACATCAATTCAGCTTACCGTTTACCAAAACGAACCCTGCTGCAAACCCAACCCTTATATCCAATATCCCAGTGATTCCTCGTGGAAGTGCATAGGTGTTCTCGGCTTCCATCAAAACGAGTGTCATGTCAACACAATCCTTCCCATTCCTTTCTTGACCTGTGTTCGGGCGCGGCCGGCGCTGGTATTGCCTAATTTAAGATCACCAGTTTTTACACATTGAGGATGATTGCTAGTCCCAAGCATTATCTATTGGTTCTCTGTGTAATTACAGCTGATATGGCAATAACAGAGTAGCAACCGTGGGCGGTCAATCAAGCTCAAGCTCAAGCTCAAGCTCAAAGATAAAGGAAGGTGTATTTGTTGGCCCACAGATCAAAAAACTGCTCAATGATTCCGCATTCAATACAGTTTTGACACCAGATGAGGAAGAAGCGTGGAAATCGTTCCAGCGTGTTGTCACAACCTTTTTAGGAAATTTCAGAAGCCCAGATTATGAGGAAGCCGTCGATGAATTGCTCAAAAATTATGAAAAAATAGGTATAAATCAAAAATATTGTGTTTGTTACATATAATTTATTTCAAATCCGTTTATTTCACTGAACACAGTTGTGAATATGTCTTTGAAGATACATTTCCTACATTCTCACATGGATTTTTTCCCGGAAAATCTTGGTGACGAGAGTGATGAGCACGGCGAACGTTTTCACCAACAAATGAAGATGATGGAACGTCGTTACCAAGGGTTTCGGGATGAAGCAATGATGGGTGACTATTGTTGGTTTCTGATTCGAGAAACAAGTTCAAAACATCGAAGACAAAGTCATTCGATTCTCAATCATTTTTAATAAAACCTAAATAAATTTCTTTTGTATCAACTCGGTTTTAAATCCTGATATGCCTTAATCAAATTGATATGTAGAGAAAAGAATCTCCCATGAAAACTTTACATGCGATTTGGATGCTTACAACGACACCTAGAAAAGGAACTCTAAAGCTGTTGTATTTCAGCAACATTTTTGAGTGTTTTACAAAAATGCTCATAACTTCGACAATTTCCAACCGATTTCATCCATTAAAGGCTCATTTTCTCCGGTTTTGAATGGACTTTAAGAATAAATTATGGAATGATTTTTTGAATCTTTTTATCCCGTTAAAAATGTTGATTAAAACAAGATTTTTATGAAAAATTCGCTGGAAAAATAAAAAAAAATGCTGTAAATTTTTAAATGACTTCAAAATTAAATTTTTAATTAAGACATAATATTCTAATGAACGATAGAAAATTTAGTTCGCTTCATTTTCATAAAAAAAGATTTAAAATTGGTGCACTAGTTCCAAAGATATTGACATTTTAGGAATCGTACTTTTGTCCAAAATTCAAAAAATCAAATTTTTTGTATATCTCAAAAATGGCTCTACTTTAATTTTTTCTGACCACGGCATTGAATTCAGCGTAGGATTTTGCATTGGAAATGATCATCACCTTACCGAGTTCAAAAATTCATGTTCATGTACTGTAATTGGGTGGAAACCTTCAAATCCAAAGACTTTCAAGTGATCAAAGACCTCCATTAAGTCCCCTTATATATTTTTTTTTTTAAGATTGCAGGTTGACCTGATATTTTCCTAAAGATCTTGATATCCAAAGATGATATTGAAAAAAAAAACCTCAATAGCCTATTCCAACGCTTAAAGAAGGTGGTAAAATTTTGATTACAAATTCGAAAAAAAGCTCAGAAACTCGCTAAGCAATTCGAAAAATCCCATAATTTCAATATGGGTCTTACTAGTCCTTTTGAGAATCAGGTTGCTCGGAATTTTCTGAATATTTTCATTCGGGAAAATATTTTTAATGATTGGGGGACTGATTTGGACAGAATAAGATCTATACCTAAAAAGTTTCAAAACATGAAAGCACCAGGTGATGATGGAATTTTCTATATCCTCATCAAAAAACTCCCACAGAGTACCTTGTCTTTCTTGGTTAAATTATTCAACAGATGTTTTCATTTGGCATACTATCCTGATAAATGGCACAAATGTGCCAAATTTCAAGCCGGATAAAAATCCAGCTGAAGCTTCTAGCTACCGTCCAATAAGTTTGCTTTCTTCAATAAGTAAACTTTTTGAAAAGATAATTTTGAATAAAATGATGCTTCACATCCATATGAACTCAAGTTTTCCAGATGAGCAGTTTGGATTTCGCCATGGGCATTCAAATACTCATCAACTCTTAAGAGTTACCAATTTAATTCGTTCAAACAAATCTGAAGGCTACTAAATTGGAGTTGATCTTCTGGATATAGAAAAAAGGATTCGACATTGTTTGGCAAAAAGGTTTGATTGAATATTGAAGAAGTTTAATTTGCCAGTCTGTATTATGAAATCATGAAAATCCCCGGGAAAGTTAAAATGCAGGGAAGTTATCAAAATCACAAATCTGAACGACTACCTCAGGGTAGCATTCTTCGGCCTATATTGTATAACATTTTCACTACCTGAAACTTTGTCACAGACGCCATTTCCATAAGAAGATTCATTTTCGTGCTTTGATTTATTGAATAATATTGTATACACCATTTTGAAAACTAAGCCGTAAATCAAAATGACCGCATTCTGTCACTAACCTAGTTATTTTCCCCTACTGAACAAGTATGCAAAGTTTCATGGAATTAGGAGAGGGAAGATTAAAATCTATTCGTCAGTTGGCGTGGGCCTGAGATTAAACCCCAAGATCTTCTGCTTGGGGAAAATTTAATAATTACGAATGCAGTTTATTTTGTTCAAGTGTTTCACCCCCCGTACCACCATTATAAGATTTAGTAATTCAAAGCTTAAAACCCCTACCTTCTAAGGAAGATCTCCCATCGAATATTTCTTCGTACTGCATTTGAACCGTTCATGCTTACGAAAGATATTTCTGAAACGCCTTCCTCCCATGTAAAAAAATCGTGAGCAAATTTCAACACCCCACCCCCAACCCCCTCGTAAAATTCCCATAAGAGAAGTCATAAGTGTAGGCACTGAGATTCACATGAGTGGTTCGTAGCTCAACCAGCTCAACCAACTAGCACGAATTTCAGTTGTTCCTGAAATTTCATCCTGGTAGATACTGACACCCTGGTTACATTATGCTAACTACTTTTTGATACAGTTTTAGTACACTAGCACCAGCACACCAGCACAAGTGTAAACACCCCATTATGGCCTGCTTCCATATGTGCTGGTTCATAATTCTGATTAACCAAAATTGGTGTAATACGATCAAGTTTGTGCCAGAAGTTGATGCGGGAACGTTAATCAGCACCGAAAAACTGTTGTCCCGTCAGCGAAAGCAAAAAAAAAATAAAATTCCGTAACTCATTGGCTAATTGTGCTTGCTTTTCGTCGTTCAATTGCAGCAGATATGTATATCAAACCATATCGTTAAAATGCACCATGCACCTCCATCAGAAGAATCTGCACCGATGGAGCGAGCGTGATTTTCAACAATCTAAATGATCTCCCCTGTTCACTAAGAGCTATGTTCGTAGCCATCAGTTACCTACATTTTCGTAGGAAAATAGACTCACCCACTGCGGATAGCTGTATCAGATAACCGTCGCTTAATTAACGTCACACAGCCATGGAACTGTACATCTCGAAGCCAGTATCCTCCCTACAGCATACCGGTTGCATCCCATTAAGAGCATTTTCGGTACTTACCGGGTGAGTTTTGGTGGTCGCAATCGTCATTATTGTTGCCAGTGTCACTGTTAGTACCCCTACTCACGATGGCTGATGCACCTGATAAGCTGCCGTTTGCCAGTGGCCCACCGCCAGCAGCTAATCCTCCAATGACAGCAGCAGAGCCACCGCTGTTGTTGTTATTATTACTGATATTATTATTAACAGAACTAGCACTGTTGGAAACCGACACAACACTACCCCCACCGCCGCCGCCAGCACCAGAGGAAACGATCCGTTGTACCGAATATTGCTGCTGCTGCTGCTGGTGCTGGTACTGATGCTGTGGTAGCACGCTAGAACCTATCGGCTGTTGCTGTTGCTGTTGCAAAGACAGCGGCGAGGTTGGTCCATTACCATTATTACCGTTATTACTGGGGGCGAAATTATTGACACTATTCACACTGGTGCTCCCGACGGTACAAACCGATTGGCCACCGCCACTACAGTTAGTACTACTAGTGCCGTTGGAACTGATACTGATGCCACTGCTGCTGGAATTGCTGGCTACTGCTACCGCTGTTATGTTGCTATTACAAGTGTCTGCCGATACCGAACTGCCCGTAATCAAGTAAGGCTCTTCTCCACTGCACACCGAGGCTCCACTGCCGCTTCCTCCACCACCGTTAGCACCACCATCGACGCAAACTGGAGCCTGTGATCCTGCACTTCCGCTTACAGCCACTCCACCTCCCACGCGGGCCCGATTTTCTCGCATAAAATCACCGAAAAATATTCGTGACCTGTGAAGGTGGAAACCAAAAGAAAAGAAGATAACAGTTAGTTCAAAATCATCTGATCAGGTTAACAAAACTCTTAATATGAATATTAATCGGATAAGCACATTGGCTACGCCGTGATTTAATCATTTCATTATTCAATAACAACAACCTTTACCAATCAACAACGACTGGGTAAGCATCAAGAATTAATATTCATTTATTCATAGCTCCCCGTGCTCATGCAGTTCTGCTCGTAGAGAAAAACATATTTGCAAAATCCGCAACATTATTCCGACTCGAATGGGGCAACAACAATAACTAACGACGACGACGACGACGATGACGACGGTGCCACCAGCGAAATCCGATTTATCTCCCGTGACGATGAATCCTTTGTGCGTATGATTTTTCATATTGATTTGCACGTGCGATGGATTTGCGATATGACGGCGGGTTCAAACACATTTCCCGGGAAATTTTCCTCCCACTGGCAAAAGATCCATCACCGTCGGTGGGTGAAAAAATCGCTTAGATTTCCCGGAAGACACGGGAGATTTAAGTGAAAGATGCATTGGACGTCTGTGATTTTGTTCAAACGAATGCGAGTCGTGTTTCAATCGATGCTTCGCAAATGTCAAGCCGGAATTGTGTTACGTACACCGAAAATAGATTGAGGATGAAGGGCAGTAAAAGAATTTCTGATAAATGCGTGAGAAATTGTTCCATATTTAGTTAGAAATAAATCATTGTGAAAAGCATAGCGTTGAGATCTGATTTTCGTCATAGTAAATAAGCACAACCCGCCTTTGGCTCCCTTTTTCGAACGCGGGTTTTGAACAAAAAATGGAAAGTTTCCACCAAATATGACTTCTACCAATGTATTTACCTTTCCATTCATACCGTTTAGAGGTTCCTGTCTGCCGGGTTTGAAATAAGTCCCGGTGTTCAGTGCTTAACGGCCAGATAAATAGATAAGTAGTATGTACGATATTTTGTATAGAATTTCTTTTGATGTCTTGTGTTATCTAAAGTCTGAAATGCGCAAAAATTGGTCAACTTCAAATTGGTGTATTTCTGTTAAAAATGCATTAAAAAAAACCTGAAATGCTGCATTTGGAAGTTGAGTGTATATACAATGGTTGCTATGATGAGTTTTCACCGTTTGCTCTCCAGTTTTCAAAATGACGTCCAAGCAAGAGAAGCATCGTGTCAAAATTTTGCTCGCGCAGCAAGAGAATCCGACGTTCTCACACGCCAAGTTGGCAAAATTGCTGGATGTGGCCAAATCGACTGTGACAAACGTTTTAAAAGTGTTTGGGAAGCGTCTGTCGACCGCCAGGAAGCCTGGAAGCGGTGGCAATCGTAATCCGGACGTGGCAGCAACGACGAAGAAGGTGGCGGTGAAATATAAGCGGAATCCTAACCTCTCCATCCGGGACGTCGCTGGCAAGCTCAATGTCTCCCATACTACTGTGCAGCTGGCCAAGAAACGAGCCGGGTTGTCGACGTTTAAGAAGGTGAAGGTGGTGAACCGAGATTACAAACAAAACACGTCGGCAGAGCAGCGGTCCCGAAAGCTGTATACGAATCTGCTCACAAAGTTCGACTGTGTCGTCATGGATGACGAAACTTATGTGAAGGCGGATTTCCAACAGCTTCCGGGACAGGAGTCTTATACCGCATCAGGAAAACACGGCTATCAATGGTATCGAACAAGTTGCTTGCCGAGGCTTCTGTGGTGGAGTGTTCCACATGCCGTGTGCTGGAGTGTCACGAGCACTTCTGGGATATTTCACGACGCACAAAAATAATTTATTTTGGATGTGCGTCAAGTGTGCTGAATTGTTCGAGAATTCACACTTTCGTTCAATATCACGTCCTCATGAGCCTTCCCAACTCGCATCGTTATCGGAGGCAATCAACGATCTGCTTGTCGAAATTAGGCAGCTTTCAACTATGCCCGCCGCTCCACCTGTACTACAAATTCCACCAAAACCTGCTCTCCAGCCCCCTCAAGTTCCAAGATTACGTTACACGCCTATCACACCAGCTCAATACGGTTCCAAGGAAACTACCAAGAACATTGTCACGGTCACGAATCAAAACCCTTCTTCTGACAAGGACAAATTCTGGCTTTATTTGTCACGCATCCGTCCCGATACAACCAACGATGTAATCTCAGCGATGGCCAAGGAATGTCTGGAAATCATCACGGAGCCTGATGTGGTGAAACTCGTACCAAAGGGTAAGGACATTTCGGGTTTGTCATTTATCTCGTTCAAATCGGCCTCGACCCGGAGTTGAAGAACGTGGCATTGGATCCCTAAACATGGCCAGAAGGTATCCTGTTCAGGGAATTTGAAGACTATGGCTCCTCAACTTTTCGAAAGCCAAACTTGGAAGCTTAATCAACGTCCTCACAACCTGACGAGTACTAAACGGCAATCTTCGGGACGCACTGAAAAAAGCCTCATGGAAGCCCCGGAACCAGTCAAAGCAGTCATGATTTGCAGTTACAGTTCCTGTCCTAGCCGTCCCGGACCTGCTTTTGACATCGGTGATGGGATTTTCCAACTCACTACTCCAGGCAAGTACCAATATGTTAAGAACCCTACCGTGCCTGATGCTTCACTGTGTTTTAGCCATACCGATGCCAACGTCTTTGCTGCTCTACGCTCTACTGATTCCACAATCTTGGAATTCACCTCACCGAGACGCACGCCACAAAGCATCTTGGAAGTCCCCGAGCCCTCCGACCCAGTCGAGCCTGCAACGCCAACCTCCACACTTTCACTCTCCGGTGTATCCTGCCATCAAAGTCGTCTCGGCCCTGCGGTCGGAAATGGTGAGGGGGTCTTCCAGTCGGCGTTGCCAGGCAAGTACTTCGATTCGACGTTCCATCCACCTCCTGATAGTTTCGTGGTTTCCAGCTCATTATCCAGCGATGTCAGCAACAGCGCATGCACATACCCTCGCAGTCAAATTGATCCTATCTTCACCATTTACTACCAAAACGTAAGAGGTTTACGAACGAAGACAACCGAGCTCCGCTTAATGCTTTCAACATGCGACTACGACGTTCTGGTTCTCACCGAAACCTGGCTTCGAGCGGACATTCAGGACTGTGAGCTATCGTCAGATTATCATTTCTTCCGCTGCGACCGTAATCGAGCTACCATTCATGCACATCAGTTTCGTTCGAGAATTGCGACCGTCTGGAGCAAGTGGCTGTGCGCATCACTCTGCAGCACCGCTTCCCCGTGTGGACTCCGGGTAGAATAAGAATAGATCCACGAGCAGTCCTTCCCTGTCGTACGAGGCGACTATCTGGACAAGATAGAACGCAAACCATCTAGGCATTAATAGATGAAACGAAAAGAGCACAACCACAACTGAGTACGAAAAGCACTCAGTAAGGTCCAGCACATGTGCCTAAATAGAACGCCAACTATTCGATCATTAACGGATAAAATTGAACAAGTAGAACACTAGCAGAGTTGTTACAAAAACTCAGCTAGGGCAACTACAACTAACTACATAGAACGCTCAACATCCGGGTATTAACGGATGAAGAAATAACACTCAATGATATAATCATTCGGTCAAATCCCAAGGTGTCAGCTGAACCGTGCCGAGGGGATGCATGGCGGAGGACCGGCATTGGAAGCTCTTAACGGAACCTGTAGGGCACCAGGGCACCCCCTACAGTAAAAGTGCCCTTACCACATGATACGGGCCCCATGTGATGGACTGTTCCAACCCGTAACGTAAAACAAAAACCTAAATGGATACACATACCCCCACCCCTTACAACAGAAAAAGGAGCAATCCAAACAATAAGAAAGAAAATTATAAGGATGATAACACATCAAGTACAGATACCATACACACGAAGAAAGCAAGATTGGATAAGAAAGGGCCTAACATACAAAACCAAACCAATCAAGCTAAACAACGCAGGATAAGAACCAGAAGGAAAAGCACTAGGAAAAAGAAAGAGAAAAAACTACTAAAGAAACAAAACGAGACAACCACGGCAGAAACCAAAGAAACAAAAGTAATACAATGGAACATTTGCGGACTCAGAAGCAAAATTCCAGAACTACAACTACTAACCAATGAATACAAACCTGACATCATAGCACTCCAAGAGACAATGTTCAATGATAAAAAATACGTGAAAAGACTCAACGGAAGCAAGTACAAATGGTACCTAAAACCAGGGCTAAACCCGGCAAGAAACGGAGTAGCCCTAGCCATAGAAGAATCCATACTACACGAAGAAATAACACTAAAAACCAAACTACAAGCACTAGCATGTAGAACCAAAGTGAAAGCGCCTACGACATACACATCAATATACATACCACCAAGAAAGCAAACAACCAAAGAAACGAAAAAACAACTACAAGACCTAATCGATCAACTACCTAAACCATTCATACTCATGGGAGACTTTAACGCCCACAGTACACAATGGGGTAGCTTCAAGAATGATAGATGGGGCAAAGCAATACATGAACTCATACAAGAAAACAACTTATAACTACTAAACAATGGAAATAGCACGAAGATAAGCAAAAACTACACGTGCCTATCGGCAGTAGACATAACCCTAGCATCAGGGGACTACAATAATAACCTCATATGGGAAACAGATATAGACAACAGAGGAAGTGATCACTTCCCAATAACTCTGAGCACAAACAACATAAAAGCTAACAACACTGGTAAACCCAAAGGGTTAATCAAACAGGCAAACTGGAAAAAATTCCAAGAGACACTAATCGAAGAACTACCACAAGACAGACCACATCACATAGACAAAATCATAAAAACAATCCAAACGGCGGCAGCCATCATCATACCCAAAACTGACGGCAGAACCAAACACAGAAAGGTCCACTGGTGGAACAAAGAAGTAAAGAAATGCGTCAAAAAGCGAAGAAAAGCACTAAGACAACTAAGAGAACACAAGCAAAACAATGACATCAAAAAATCACTAGTAATTAAACTCAAGA